CTGCAGCGATTCCCTTCACATGGAAGCTGTGTCTAGTCCCCTGCTCCCAGAAAACGCTGGGGAGGGAGCATAGAGGTCAGAAAAGTAGCTACCCCCACTCCAAGCACCTAAATTTGAGCTTACTTCCTACATATTTTCCAACAGCCAACCGTGTGTTATACCTGTAGAGACCTTTTGTCTCCAATTTTCTTGAACAGTACTAGGATCAAAACTGGGCTGGAACCATTTCGTGGAAGTGAAAAGAAAGTAAGCCAGACTGACAACTGTTCTTTGCAGGAGAATCTGTCTCTGTAGGAGAAAGGGTTGTGCTGTTTAGAATGATACAATGGTTTGTGTTGGAAGGGATTTTAGAGATCATGTAATTTGAAGCCACCTCCCATGGACAGAGACATATTTCACTACACCAGGTTGCTCAAAGCACCATCCAACCTGACCTTGAACACTTCCAGGGATGGGGCATCTACAGCTTGTCTCAGCAACCTGTTCCTGTGCCTCACAACCCACATAGCAAACAATTTCCTCCCAATATCTAACCTAAACTTTCAGTTTAAAGCCATTCGCCCTTGTCCTGTCACTACAGGGCCATGTGAAAAGCTCCTCTCCAGCTCTCTCGTAGTCTCCTTTAGGTACTAGAAGGCTGCTGTAAGGTCTCCTTGGAGTCTTCTCCTCTCCAGGCTAAACAACACCAACTGTCTCAGTGTGTCTTCACAGGAGAGGTACTCCAGCCTCTGAGCATCTTCATGGCCCTCCTTGCTCCAAAGTCTATGTCCTCATTATATTGCCTCAGAGCTGGACGCAGTACTCCAGGTGGGTCTCACAAGAAGGAGGCAGAGAAGAATCACCTCCCTTGCTCTGCTTCTTGATTTCTATCCTTCCCTGGGCAGTAGCAGTGGTGTAGTGGGGTAGGACATTTCAGCTAATTAGAGCCCAATTTGCCTTGATTCACCAGCTGCTAATGCTGCACCTTTTCTGAGTGGTGTGTGGTCTTCAGTTCCTCTTTATGCTACTTTATGCTCCCCAAAAGTAGATTTTTCTTTTAGCATTAGAAATTCAGATGTTGTCTGGCTTGGAAATCTTCCTGGCAAGGGGAAACACATTACAAGAGGCAAGGTGAACAATTAAGGACCATTAACAGAGTTGCCAGCTCTAATGGTTTTTGGAATAGGTTGGAGGATTCCAGACCCTTTTAAGGGTTTTAAAAGGAAAATACAGGTTTTTAGAACTAGTTCCATGACTGATCATTCTTCTCCCACCTGACATCCAGAGGTGCCGCAGCTTTGTCTCTTTAATGGACTAGGTGCACAGGGCTTTGCTTTCCAGCTGTCCTATGCTCCTGCTCACCACTCATTACTTCTCAAGAGAGGATGAAACAATAAGAGGCATAGGTTAACAAGACTTAAAGAAACAGCAGCAGCTAAGTGACAGCTTGCTCTGTCACTGCCATAGGTAAAGTCAGGAGTTGGAACTGTGGCTCTAGGATATAGAAACTGAGGTAGAAATGCATTATTCTTTCCCCAAGGTTGTGGGACTGTATACAATGGTACTGCCCTGGGATTTGGGGCAAGTGGGGGTGGGAGAAAAGCAACCAGTGGTTTCTCAGTGGCAAAGCCCAGTTTAGTAATTATTTCTTATAACAGTGCTATGAAGAATTTCATTTAGGTAAATAAACACAATTCTGACACTATTTCAGAGACTTTGAGTTGTAGATACCAGATCTGATCACTACCTGGTCTTTGTGTTACATACAGTTAATTTTTCTGACTTGTTTCATCTATCATGTAACAGCTTTTTCTTTGTTTTACTGATTAAAGAAATACTTGTGGAATGGAAATGACTTAAATATGGAAGCAAAACCTAAGATGCTAACTCTATGGCCAGACCTCGTCAGTGGAATTGCAAGCTTGTTCTGAAAAGTCTCCCCTTGCTTTTCTCTAGCTATTTCACAGTTGCTCTGTATGTTAACATGTTCCACACAGGGGTCAGCAGTAGTTAACTATAATGAGGTAATTACAAGGTACATTGAGTACAGATGTATGTTAAGGGACATACATTAAGGATGTAGACTAATGGTGTTGTGGTGACACAAGTGTTCAAGCCTTTTGGTAATGTTTTGTATACTGAATGTCTTTAATATCACTTCTTTCATTAAAGTAAGTTTTATCAACTTTTTTTTCTGATTACTGAATCATTTTCATGTGTATATTCATATCTATGTGTGGAAACTGATGACAAATCAAGGATACCAGTCTAATGATTCAAAACAGGTAATAGACGTGTTTATATTTTTTTGGTCCAAGCTTTCTTCACAGATTTAAAACGACCCCATTACCACTAAATGAGAAAATATGGTTTTGTTATCTTTGTGTGATTTCAAAAAACGTAGCTGCAGAATAAGTGAAAAGGAAGCAAACTGCTCAAATGAAATAGCTGCATTGGCCTTACAGAAGAGGAATAATATGTGAAAGGACCTAAGAATGAACATGAAACATGTTTTACCTTACGTGAGGTAGTGTGACTCCTGCCAGGAGGTACTCAGCAGCAAGGTGTTCAGCACAAGCTCTAAAACTTGCATCAGCCTTGCTAAGCTCTACATTGGGTGGTTGAGCAAGGTCCTGCTCTACTATTTACTATTAGCAACACCTGAGCTGGGGATTTAACACCAGTCCCCAAGCTACTGTGACATAGACCTCAAATCTCTGCAGCCAAAGGCACAAAGGGCAAATTTTGAATCTTCTTTTGGAGAGAATAAGGAGTCCTATGGAGAGCAAAGTATCTCAAATTTGAGCACTGAGGTGAAGTAGTTGCACTCTGGGTCATGGGATGGCTCAGTATTGATCAAAAATCTTATTCTACATGGATGTTGCATAATTTTATTAATATTTCCCAAGCAATAAGATATTATGATAAAATACTAAGAGAAAAATCTCATGAGCCTATTCCGTATTCAATGTAAGGTTTGAATAGCATGTAGTTATCAATACAGGAAGCCCTAGGATTGAGAAGGCTAGGAAAACTATTGAAGAGTTTAACAAAACCATCTTATGTTTTGAAAGAAACTGCAGGAGGAAAAAAACATATGTTAGTATTTAATTAAAAGACCACTACCTTGATGCAAGATGAATTTTGATTAAGCTGGCACCCTTGACTTAGGTATTTTCCAAATTGTATGCTTGTATTTTACAACTCGATCAACTTGTGGTCCTCAGTAATGTATGTATTTAATATAAATTACATATGATATATATTATCATATATTTTATAATATACATTGTATATTTTGTTCTACTGAAAGTCAAAGCAACCATAATGCATCTTCACACAAACCAACTTAACAGATTTTGTGTGACTTGGTTACCTCTTGTGACATATGCACAGATGTACCAGTGTACACACATACAAGGGAGGTATAATTTTGCCTATATAAATGCACATTCAAAGGGACTGTTATTTACCTTGCTAATGTAATTAACAGCATGAGAATACTGTTTTTGTAACACTTAGAGACACTATCAACTTAAACTTGCTTAACATTCCATATGTTGAAACAGTCAACCAAAAAACAAACCCAAAAGGGAATAGGTAATTCTCCACCACGTAGGGATAGGACTTTTGCAACCAAAAGGAACAGAAATAGTTTCTTTTTAAATGGCAGCTTTTTCCTCAAGCCGACACCAAGCGCTGCAAGGGCTTGGGTGGCAGCGCAAAGGCGAGCGGAGGGACCCCGCTTCCCGACAAACTGGTGTCGGGCAGTGCAGCTCTAGGATACCCAGAGAAGTAGCTAGAAGCAGCGACCGAAGCGTTTACAGGACAGCAGCATTCCCAGAAGCCGCTGCCCGCCAGCCTCCCGCACCACCACGGCTTCTTAGGGATTTATTTACTTCCCCGACACCCCATCCCGCTTCCGCTCACGAACACCTCAGGCGCTGCCGCTCTCCTGGTACCGGTCCCTCCTTCGATCAGACGCGCTCAGTGCCGGGCGGTCCGGCGGGGGAGCGGGGCTGTAGCGACCCGCACGGCTCGGGCAGCCCCCACCGCGTTCCCGGGCAGCCTGAGGGTGGGGGGCGCTGAGTCAGCGCTGCCGGTGTCAGCCGGACGCGGCCAGGGGAGGGGGCGCGGCGGCCGCCTACGTGGCGGCCTTAGTCATCGTCCGCGAGGCCGGGGGGGCGGGTGACCCCCAGGTCAGCTCCGCGCCCCAGCTGGTGGCCGCGGTAACGGGGGGACCTCCCGTTGTCACCTGGGCTTGGGCCCGGTCCTCCCTCGGGGTGGGTTTGTGTGTGACACCGCGACCGCCATGCCCCGCCACCCTCGTCCCGTCCCCCGAGCGGGCGGAATTCGCCGGCCGGGGGTGAAGAGAGGGGTGGAGGGAGGGTGGGTGACCCCTTCATGGCTGTGCAGCAGCAGGAGCCATCGATCTTGTTTAGGAGCTGGTGCGCAGCTAACACTTCCTGCGGTAATTTGTGACCGTGGCTATTGATTGTCCGCGTCCCGTGCGCCCGCCGCCCCGACGCCGCGCAGTCTGAGGAGGAGGAGCCCGGCCGGACGGGAGGGGGAGGAAATCCCCCGCCGCAGCCGCCTTCTTTGGGGGTCCCTGCGCTCTGCCGCTGCTTCCTTTTTTTTTTTTTTTTAAAATGAATGGACTGGATGCCCGGTGACACATTACCCGCGTTTTTCTTCTTGGAAAAAGCCAGCCGGCGTGCCATAAGTTCAAACCGAGTTTAAGCAACAGATCTCCCCACTGCTGGCGGGCCGGAGAGGGAAGAGAAATCCCTGCCCCCCAGTCCCCATCCCCCCCCGCGGGCCGGGCCGGGCTGGCTGGTCCAGAGGCAGGGGCAGAGGGGCGGTGAGCGCTCCCCTGAGGCTGGCCGGGGTGGGCGAGGCGGCGGGTCTCTCTGGCCAGGAGGCTTCTGCCCCGGTGGGTCGCGGGCAGAGGGGAAAACCTCCACAAGGGCCCGGGGGCCCGCTGGAAGAGCTGCGAGGCTCGGGGCTCCCTCAAGGCGCCCGGTGAGGGGCATCCCCTTGGGCTGTGGCAAGGCAAGGTCTAGAACCTCCGGCCCTGAGCTGGACGGAGCCGGCTCCGCTCGCCTCGGTAAGGCATTTAACACCTTTGCTTTGCCCTTTGTAATTGTCCCGGCGCCCCCCGCCCTCATTTCCCTCCCGATTTATAGACTGTCCCAGCGGTAATATCTCTCTCACACTCACACTCACACTCTCAATACTCTCACACGCGCACGCGCGCCTTTACCAGACACAAAGGTAAAGGTTTGCCCCGCTCTCCAGCGCGGCTCTGGCCGCAGCCCTTTCCGCAGCGCCGCGGGCACGCTGCCGGGAGGTGTGACCCCGCCGGGCTCGGTACTCGGTGCCTGCCTGCGCCGAGCCCTCAAAGTCGTAGCAAACCGAGGAGGAGGTTCTTGCGTTGCCTCTCGCAAAACTTTGCCACTTATCCATGTTTTTTAATTTATCTACGCTTTAAATGCGCCTCCCCCACACATAACTCCCAACACTCAGCACCGATTTTTTTCTGTTTCCGTTCAAAGAACGAGCCTGTGCTACTCGCCCTTCAGTTGCTTCGTTCTTAAGCAACGTGGTTCAATTTTGTAATCTGCCCCTCAGCTTTTCTAAGCGAAGCGGGGCGGAGGCTGCATGTTTTCTGAATCGTGGCAAGGAGGAGCATAAGGGACAGCGGTGATCTCTTGCTGCTGTCGAGCTGGCTGCCCCGATCGTGGGAAAGTGGCTGCACGTAAAGCTGCAGATTCTTTGTCCCTGTTGTTCTTCTGTAATCGATCTCACTTCAAGTCGGGGGGTGGAAAACTTCAAAGGCAGATCAGGCTGTTGGAGGTCGGGGCAAGAGCACAATCAACTCGTAATGCACCCAACTTTGTCTCCTCCCCCTCTTACTCCTCCTCCTGCAGGAGCCGGGGGGTTGGATGGGATGGGAGTTAGGGGAAGAGCCGTCCGATCTGTAAAGTACGTCCAATCAATAAATAAAATGCAGACTTTGTGGAAAGAGTGAGAGAGAGCAAGGGAAGGAAAAAACTTGTGTTAGTATTCCCAAGTCACATATAGGACATACAGGATCCTGACTGCACTTTTTCTGCCTATCCTGACTTGTCTAAATAGCTGAATAGCTGTGTTCTAGTTATATATGGAACAGTTTCTCGCTGGTTTTTTTTTTTTTTCGGTCCCTCTCTAGGACAATTTTAGGACTGTACAGTTTGCTGCGTAAATTACTATAGCAGGACAAAAATAGCTGTTTTGCACCAGCTGAGGGTTGTAGTACAACGCGATCTACTACTGCACGCAGTTTTAGCAGCGGAGGGAGAGGGGAGCACTGCTGGTGCCAAGACAAAACACAACCGCGCTGCGGACATCTGCCATTCAGAGCCAGCTGCGGCTGCGACTCCGGTCAGATCTGCTAACACGTATAAAGGACATCTAGGAAGGGATATCCGACGTCATGGAAATACGCTCTTGCAGTGAAGTACGTTACATTAGAACATCCTTTTGATAGACTAGAGTAGAAAACTTACCTAGAGTAGTTTATGAAATTTCCTTAAAAAAAAAAAATGTTTGGAATAAGATGTCAGAAAAAATGCACACAATCAAATCTAGATCCACCTCCACACACCTCCCTATCACACTACCTTTGAGTGCTGTGAGAAAGTTGAATTTAACATTTGAGATCAATTATTTTCTTACTTTTTACTGCTTTCTGGTATGCCTTGTATAAGCATTTAAATACACTTTGATTGTATCATATTACTTTTCTCTCCTCGCTAACTGTGGAAAATTGGAAATTGCAAAATTTCATAGGTAACTTTTTAGTAGAGTTTAGATTCTTCCTCTAGCTCCAATTTGTGCCCAAGTGCCCATAAAGAAGGTGCTAACCAGGACTCTCTCTGAGACTGTTTTGGGATTCCCTTGCCATAAAAAACCCCTTTGGTAACACATAGCAGTAGCGGAAGTAAGCTATTTTAAATGCTGGGTTGTGCCAGCAACATGTATTTCAGTTAATGCTCTAATTTGTGACAGAAACTTGATTAGCCACAGACAGAGAAGTGAAAACTGCAACTCAGTTTGGCACCTTCAATAAGTTCGGTTTCTGCTCATATGTGCTAAGGACAGGAGTTTAGTCATTCTCTGAGTTTTTAAATAGGTAATAGTTTGGGGGTTTTTAATAAGTAATACAATTTTAGCATCCTCTACAGTCATAATACCCCTTCAAATATATTTCCACTCATAGTCAGCTTCAAGTATTGCAGCAGTAAAACAGCGACATATTATGTGCAGCCAGATGGTACATGTGAAGCTTATGGCAGTACCCTGTGCTTGTACAGGGATATTATAAAGGCCATTTCTACTCGGCTGATTGCAGCCTTTCAGTTTTTCACCCTTTACATCATAGTTTTCTGTCAGGTTTCTTTCCAAGAATGAATTTTTCAGGAACTATTTCAGAAAAAAATACCCAGGTCTGTTTAAATACAAAGAAAATTTGAAAACTGTGAAAGCACTTGCTTTACATTGTAACCATATTCTCAACAGGGTTGGCTTTTCAGTGTTGTAGCCTAAAGAGTTAAAAGTAGGAAGGAATGTCATTCAATTAGAAACAAGCTTTTTTAGTGAAATAGCTGTTCTTGGTGTGATCACTAAGGCTGGATTTTTATCAAATGAATGGGTTATTTTAAAAAAATTCCTTACATCCAATTAACCCAGCCCATGCTGGCTAAGAGAACTATTGTTGCATTGTACATTTGCACATGGAATAGGAATCATACTATAGGAATAGGGCTACCATACATCTGAATTTTTTTCCCTTTGGATGACAGCTCTCCTTCCCCTCACCCACCCTCTGGGTCCCATCTGGATAACCTTTTCATAATTGCACTCTGTGTTTTAAAATATTTTCCAGAGTGGGAACTGGGGCTTTTGGATTTGTTTTCTCTCTCCCTCTTTTTTCTTCTTTCTGCTTTGTTTTGCCACAGGGAGGACTAGGCAAGGGGTGGGCTTGGCCCACCATCTAATGAGAGTGGTGGGAGACGCAAGCAAAGCAATAGCAGCAACATGGAGGCACTAAGTGCAATAGCTTGATGCTATTCCAAACCTCAGAAAAGAGTTTGGAGGTTCATACTTAGGAGAAAGAATACGCTAGGTTCAGATAAAAAGGAGAATAATGCTAGTGCTTAAAGGGGTTTTGGGCACCGAGGAAGTTCAGAGTAGTGTTCCACTCGTCTGGGAAGTCTTTGGGGAAAGGTACAAGAGGTTGAAGTTTGACAACCTCCTCAAACTTGCAGTTTGAGTATCTCTGAGTCAGGAAAATTTAGGATTATCTCCGTGGGCACTTCTAACAAGGACTTCGGCTTGTGGTAGGGAACACGTTCAGGGCTGTTGAACTTTATCTCCCACCATGAAAGTAGTAATGGTGGGTGTATCATATAGAACTTCTACAAATATGCTGCGGAAACAAGGCACAACACCTACCAGTACTGTGATGCTACTAAACCTGCTAGACATAGTAAGGTTTGAAGGGCTGTAAATGGGAATTATGCTCCGCTTCTAGCTCTCTTTGTCCCTCCTTCCATTCCTTCTTTTTTTTGACTCTTGCTTACCAGCCAATCTTTCTGGAAGAGTAGGATTTTTTCCTTGGAGACTCCTATGACAAAGGATGCAGGACAAGGTATGCTGAAGGTGCTCAGAATGAATATTTGCACCCCTTATACCTCTGTCCACATGCCCACCATTCCTGCTCTGGCACTTTGTATAGTGTGGCATAACTTGAATATAATGGATATTGCAAAAATCCAGTAAGATCATCCATATTTTCCAGCTAATAATTTTGAAGTTTTATCAGCATATTTGGGGATATGTGCTGAATCATAATTCTAGAAACACCTGTACTTTGTCTACTTGTCAAGATAAATCTGAGGCTGAAGTTCCACCTGTGTAGGGATTTCCCCCCCACCTTTTACATGTTGCTCTTGAGTCTGGACATATTCTGTCCCAATGCATCCTTACTATTACTTGCTACACTGAATGCAGATTTACCATGGTATCTGAGCTCTCCATTACCATGGTGTGATACAGCATGATCTCTTATATCACATGATAGAGGAGAAGGTAATAATACAGAACATAATTTCTGAGTTCCATGCACTTAGCTTTGCACCAAAGCTACTCCATGCGTATGTTTGTGGATCTTCTCAAGACAGGAGTGTCTTTTTTTCCAGACATTTCCTTATTCTAGGTAATCAGGGCTATAAGGCACTTCTTACTTCAGGTTCTGTGACAGTGGTTGCAGACAAAGCTGTTTAGTTCTCAGGCAATAAGCTAAACATATTTAGTATAGCTGGTTAAAGAAGTGCAGCAGTCCCCTTGAAAGTGACCTTTATAGACTAGTGTTGTCACTTAAAAGTTTCTGGTATAACTGGGAAGTGAATCCAGACTTCCCCAGTTCTCCTTCAGTTTGCTAAACATGAGCTCTGCTTCACACTAGCAATACCACCCATTTTGTTTCCCTCCATTTTTTTTTTTTTTTAATCTCTCCATTTAGCACTTTTCTACTCCTTTTACTCTTCATATTCCGTTTTCTTTCACTTTTCAACTTAAACTTAAAATGCTCTGTTTAAAAATGCAGGGGCCAATCCTCAGAGCCAGCCAAACCACACATGGTGCAGGCCCAGGGTATAGGGAGGGGGAAAGTGGCTCTAAGCCATTTTTCATCTCCCTGGATTCTAGGTTGAATTGATGCCAAAGTGGCCCCTGGCATAACTGAGAGCAGGAATGCTCTAAATTACACTAGTTAGAACAGTTCCCAAGGGCCTATCCTATGCCACTTGCTCCTTACTGCCTTGGCCACCTATGAAGGCCTCCTACACTGCCTTATTTTGTGCAGAGATTTCCTACATCATGGAATGCCCAGCTGCCCTGTTATGGTACAAAGGTGATAGAGAATCACTCTCTAAGAATTTCCAGAATAAATAAATCAATTCTGTTAAAGAAAATTACAGAAATAACATAGCATTAGAATTTGCCATCTTAATGACTTTGCTTGAACATCACATTTTTCCCTCCTACCTTCAATGTGTGTTTGAC